GATGAGCAGCCAGACTGGCCACTGGGGCCTTTGCTTTGTGTGGAAGGTGTAAATGGTGAATTTGGGCACCAAACAGCTGAATCCTCACTATTATGCAGTCTGGCTCCCTGCCTAAAAATTCCCTCTTTTATATCAGAGTGTACACATTCAAAGGCTTGATGTTGTACCATCTGAGCAAAGGTGGGAATGTGGAAGCAAGCCCAGGAGGATGAGAGCTTTGCAGTCCACTCATGTGGGTTAATGGCCAGGAATTGCCCAGCACTGCTGCATTCCTCCTTGGTTTAGCAAAAAGTGATAGGTTGTTGAATTCCTGAGGAAAACAGCTGCCCCTGGCTGGGATCTGTGCACGAAGGTGGGTTTTCTGTAGGCTCAGTCTGATGGTGAATTGTGTTGGTTCCCCATTGCTCTGCAGATCAGAACCTGTAGCACATACATGTACTTCATCCCAATTGTGGTCCATCCCCAGGTTGAAGCAACTCTCCCCCTCTGTGACTCAGACTGCACAGAGGATGGTCAGTGCTTTGCAGAGAGCCACATATTCTGGGGAATGAGAAGCATGAGCCATGGGCTTGAAGTGGCAGCAAACATGGCAACAAAGCCAAATAAATATTTATTAGCACACAACTGAGGGTAAGAGCTATTGTCACAATAGGGCAGAACCAAGGCAGGATCCATGATGCAGTATGACAAAAGCCAGGAGAAGCAGCTCAGACATCAATATATGAAAGGTATTTGGCCAGCCAAGGCTGCTGGCACAGATGGGTGAAGGACAACAACCCAGCTTCTCTTTGGCCAGTGCACACAGTTGTGCTTAAGTGTTGCTCTGTAGAGTAGCTGGTGTCTTATTTTTAAAGTACTTTTCCTGGAAAGCAGCATTTTACAGCCCAGTGGGTGTGAGCCATATCCCCACAGCAGGTTGGTGCACAGCAGGTATCTGTATACATATTTTCTGGGCAGGCTGATTTAGGGGACTTTGTGGAGAGAAGAGCATTGATACTCCATGTTGTTTCCTGGGACCAGTGCAAGGCTTAGGACTTCAGTAAGGACTTTTCGTCCAACTTTAACATTTCAGTGCAACAAACTTCTGATGTTCTTCTGTACCTCAGGAGGAAGATGTCTCCCTCCCTGTGGCAGCTGGATTTTCTTCATCCCACTTGTGATACAGACACAGACAATTGGCTCCAAAATGTTAAAGAAAATCAGGGCACTGTCTTATGAATGTAGCTGCTCCTCTGTGGATGGGACTTATTCTGGAGTAGAGGAGCCAGCTGTAAATTTTTTGGCTTTACAGTAGTTTAAACTAATTTCTCAAGACTCTAGGTAACTTAATTGTCGTAGCAGTTGAGAAAATGCCCTAAATTATGATCAGTTTAGAAATTCAAAACTTGGAAATACTGCCTTGTTATTGTATTCAAAATGTTTTCTGTACTGCATTTCTGCGTGGAGTAAATAAGCGGTGGAAGGAGAAAAGAATTGGGGGAAAATGCAATAAATTTATAACAAAATGGCAAAACCCAGCTGAAAGCATGACAATCACATGCATTACCATAAAGGATTTTGTCACCTCTGTCATGTGCTTTCTTTTCCAATACCAGAGCATGTCCCCATCTCACATTCCATCTCTGATGCAATTTATCCATGCAACCAAGAAATAATGTTCCCTTCCCTGAGGTACAGGCAAGTCCAGTCATGGATTACATGCCCTGCTTTCCTCAAGCCACAGCTTCCAGTCATGTTGGTACATGGTTTCCCAATACCAGCCTTGACTTGTCCTTTCCAAGGCTCAGCCACATGTCCAAATGGAGGGTAATCCCCAGCCTCACGCTCTGGCTGCCTCGGTTGTTCTTGAAGGACTTCTCCCAAGTATTTCCAGGGCCACACTATCCCAGCGGGATGTGCTGCCCACCCCTCAGCTGCACAGGTACCTCTGTCTCAGCAAGTGCTGTCCCTCGTTTTGGTCAGAGCTGTAACAGGGGCTCCACTGAGCTGCAGCATTCAGTGATGGGCTAGAGTATGGTTGGAAATAACTCGTCTGAAGTATACTTGTAGAAAAGATGTAAAGAAATAGTGTCAATTCAGTGATGAGAAGCCTGTAGCCCTTTTAGATATATGAGATCATTCTTACGTGGGGACTCTGTAACACTGTAAATCGTTCAACTGGTGCTTAACTGAGACTGGAATCTGACTCCTTATATATGAAAAATTCCTTAATTATTATTAGCATGGAAATAATACAAATCATTATTTTAAAATAATGCTGGCTGAGCTTGCAAAATTCACATTCAGATAGTAAGAAATGGTAATTTTAAGTTAATCAAACATAATCATTCTGCACAAGGGCATATCTTACATTCAGTAAGGCAGGGTTCCTGGGGAAATGACAAGTGTAATTAAAACCTATCTCATCATGCATGCACACAGGGGAGGGCAAGCTGTGATTGTAATGGTAACTGCTCCTAGCAGGTGTTTTTCTGTTAATATGAGGTATTAAATAAAACTTCCTGTGTTTATTAACCCAAATACTCTCCTGTATTCTTCTAACAGTGCCACTGTGATGTGTTGCAAATGGCCTGAACTTCAACTATATCTTTCAGCATAAACTTTTGTCTTCAGAAGTACAAAACTACTTATCTTAGCTGAGACTGTTACAGGAGCCTGGAGCACTGTTGCTGCTGCCAATTCTTTCGCACTGTGTAGCTCTGGAGGTCGTTAGTTTTCCACGATGAAGATCTCAGGCTCATTGCGGCATGGTGGGGATCCTCCACGACTTGCGGGGGAGAGGAGAAAACCCTGCCAGAAACACTGTCATCTGTTGCCTCCAACTGTGAGAGGATGAATGTGATCAACTACATTTTAATAAAAGAGAGTCAGAAGGGGAGGAAGCAGAGCTGGAGCTGGGCACTGGCTTTGGACAGTCAGAGCCTGATGTGTCACTTTAGGAGAGCAAGGTGCTGGGTCTGAAGGAGGGGGAAGCTTGGCTGCACTCTTTCCCTTATGATACTTGATAATTCCCAGGCAGCCCCGGTACTATGAGACCACATTGGCTTTCGTAACTTTTATTTTAAGTTCATTTGTTATTTGCTGCCAGAATTTTCCCAAGGAATACAGACAAGGAGTGGTAAATGGTGATTAATTTAGACAACCTAAGTAGAGGACTCACAATGGCTCCCCATGTAATACAAGAAAGTTAACGGCTTGCTGATGTCCTTTTGTTAGTGAATTGTGTAGCCTGGTTGTTTAATGGAGTGTTTAAAAATTGTGTTGGCAATAGCCTATGAATAATGTATAATGAAATACCTTACTGCCAAGAAACTGCTGATATGCTGGGGAAATTTCCATCAGATGTGAGAACAATTTTGAAGGCACTGTCTTCTTGGGATGCCCTTTATTTATAGCCTCACTGCTTCCGAGATTGCATTCCCTTTTTAGATACTGCATGTGAAGATGCCCTCCACTGCCTCTGCCTCTGTCTTCCAGCTTCACCTGATTCGATTTGCTTGTGTCTGTAAAAGCTCCAGAATTTTTATGAGATTAGGCTTTATTACCTGAGCACTGTAAGCACAGAATATTTCCTGTGCAGTCTTCATCTGTTCTAGGTATCTGCACCAAGGCACACTGCATCAAAGGAAGATGGATGCTGTTTTTGTGTCATGGCAATGTCCCATGATGCAAGGAAGCAGAAATAGGGCCAAGTGATTTGGAAAAAAAAAGACCAGTTGGACTCTGCAGAGTGAAATCAACTTTGATGCCTCTAAATTTTCCCCTGTGTCCTCCTCCAGTGCATGAGGCCTCTGTGTGCTTTGGCCATGAGTAGAGGGAAGTTGTGATACTAAGCAACTAAGTCTTGCTTGACCAAAGAAATGGGAAGGTTGAGAGTAAACCTCTGGTTGCAGAGGAGCTCTGGATGTTGCACTGCCTTAGGTGCAGGAGGAAACAGGCCTCCTGTTAGACCACAGGACATAGCTCAGGCAGGCACAGGAGGCAGTCCCTTTCCTTTGATCCTTATTTTGGCCCTCAGCTGCTCTTCAGGAGAAAATAAAATCATAGCTTTGTTTCTCATGTGAAGTTTTCCCCACCTGCACTGAAATGCAGAATTATAACAGGAGGGCAGGTGATCACAATACATATATTATCATTGTGCAGAGTGTTCTCAGCTAAATGTATGTCAAGAGCAGACCCAGCTTGTGGAGTCTTTAGCTCTGTGCCCTGCCCCTGCTGTGGCTTTGTTATGGGTAGCCAAGTGCTCATGCTACATTTTTGTGTATTTACACAATAGAGCCCTGAGTCAAAACATTTCCTGCAGTATGGGTTCTGTATTATTACTGTAATGCTAGAACAAAGCAACACGTGGTTGATGTTGGTATTAGTCAGCTGAGGAAATGACATCTTCACCTGCGAGGTTGATGTGACGGGTTTTGAAGTCATGTGGTGGTGCCAACAGCAAGCTCCAGGCATGAGGCTACAGGGCAGGAGAAAGAATGCCTTAGAAGAGAGGTTGTATCCTCAGGGTGATCTGCTACTGGCTAAGCATGAGGATTTGTGAAAATGGAAGGGAGGATTTGCACTTTTTCTGGTTTGTTTGCTGCTGGGATATGTCTGGGGGTGGAGTATTTTCACAGCTCCAGGAAAGGTGTATAAAAGGGGTTAGTCTAAACACAAGGTAGGTGTCAAGGAGCACCAGAGGAGTTTGACTGATGGCCTGAATGTTTTCAGTAGAACCAAATAAAGAGAAAATGTATCTAAAACTTCCTCCAAATCCACCACCCAAACCCCATCCTGACAGCTGAGAAGTGTTTTCAGCAGAGACGGTCAGAAAGGTCTAGGCTGAGGATTGTGGTCAAGTTCAACCAGCAGTTCTTGGGGTAGAAATGCTGCTAGCTGACAGTATACATGAAAGATTAGCTTTCAAAAGGAAGGAGACAGTTCTGTTATGAAGTTTATTCCACTGATGCTTCTGATGATCCTATTAATTTATCTTTTTTAATGTTTGTTTTCTTTAGGTGAAGAGCGAAGGTCCCAAACTGGTGCCCTTCTTTAAAGCCACTTGTGTCTATTTCGTCCTCTGGCTGCCAACTTCCAGCCCCTCCTGGTTCAGCGCTCTCATTAAATGTCTGCCCATCTTTTGCCTGTGGGTTTTCCTTCTGGCCCATGGAATTAACTTCTTAGTGTCACACCGGAGTGCCAGCCGCATCCTAGCGGGACTCATATTCTCGGCAGTGGGAGATGCCTTTCTCATCTGGCAGGAGCAGGGCTACTTCATTCATGGTGAGTATGTTGTCAGTCCTAAAGGGATGCCACAGTCCAGCTGTTATCCTCTTTATTTAGTAATGAGTTGCTGGGGCACATGTTTTGTTTATTCACATACAGCTTAAGCCCCGTGCACTGGGAAGCACTCATTCCTTGACTAAAATCCATCATGGTTAGAAGAGTCACACCACGGATGAGTCTTTCTCTTGAGCTTCTCTTGAGATTAGAGAGGTAACTGGGTCAGGTTTGGTTTCCTGGCATGTGTCACAGCATCTTGGCTGGCTGGAGCTGAGAAGGTGGCATGCCAGAATCCCTGGGGAAGAGAAGGAAGGGTTTATGGTACTCCTGAGCTCCCATGAAGCTATGGGAAGTACCTACCTCCTATCTCTCTGCAGGGAGATCTATCAGCCCTTTGTTACAAGGATCAGGGATAGGACATATTGTGCAAAAGTCCTCAGTGAAGAGCAAGTGGAGAGGAGCTTTATGTTTTGATAGACAAGCCCATAGCCTGGGAGAGGTTTTTAAGTGGATGCTAGAAATGAAAGCATCAGAAATCTTGTCCTACTTGCAGGTTCATCAGTGTGAATCATGCAGCCTGTTGTACAAGATATATCTGTTTTGCAAGATGTGTAAATGATGGTCAATCAAGGACAAACCTTACCACAGTGGTCTGTCTTCTCTACAGAAAGATCCATATCTCTCAGAGCAAAATGAGCTTGGTTTATTTTGCTAGTTTGCAGACTGGAGCATAATGATTTAGATTAATCATTTAAAGCCACATTGAACCTGCCTGCAGCAACACTCTCTGTGGCCTTGGACTGTCACAAGAAATAAGCAGCAGTTGAGTCCTTTGCTAAACTGATTGGTGGGCTTTCTGAAGTTTATTTAACCAGCACAGGGATCTCATATAACATCCACCATTAACTGGCTGCTGTGACTGTCCCACTGGAAAATGTGATGAGATGAGGCAACTTTTCTGACTTGTGCTGTTGTCAGCTCTGAAAGTCAAAGGCTTATTTTTTGCCTCTCTCATGAGGTTAGTATTTAGTTTTATTCTGGGATTCCCACAAGCTCTTTCTGTATGAGAGGAAAGAGTGTGCAGTGCCAGATATGAAAGGCCAAATGCTCTGAATCTGGTTTTAATCCTGCTTCCCAAGGGCTTATCCCAATCTCATTAAAAGTTCATGTAAAAATTTTTACTGATTTTGGTGGGGTTTAGATTAGGCCCTGAGGATTGTATCTATCTGGCTGAACCTTGGGCACATTGCTGAGGAGCTTCAGCTTTCTCTTGGGGTGCCATCCCCTCTGTGCTGAATGTTGACATTCCCACTGATGGGCCTCCTCCTCACAGGAGTTAGGAGCAGGTTGCCTCAGGCTCAGAGGAGGTTGCCTCAGCCCAACTAGTTGTGTGTCTGTTTTGCCTCCTGGAATTGCTTCTTGAGCTGTGGCTTGGAAAACATTCGAGGCCCAATTCTCCCCATGACCATTTTTGTATATGGACTGTTCCACGCTTCTCCATTCCGCATAGATGGTATATCTCCAAGTTCCCTCTCCAATACAGTGCTAGAGGAGGGGTTAACTAGCAATTCAGTATCTGGATGATTGTTTTAATCTGCAAATAAATTGGATTATCAACCCTAGTCTCACAACTGATAAGTTTTGCTTTGTGGCTTTAGACACATTTTTCTTCTTAAGGAGGAGAAAAAGCTCTACTGGAGCGTTTTGAAAATCTCAGCCCACTGAGTTTACCTTCCGTAATGAATGTTAATATTTGCATTTCAACTGTAAGCAGATAAAGCACACTGATCCATTTCATCCTTCACCTTGCTTGCAAAATTTATTTTCTCCTGTTTGAAACTCACCAGGTTGTTGTTGCCAACAACTGACAATATTTAACCTTTTGACATCATCAGTTGTGGGAATTTGAAGTTTCAGGAGACTAAGAGGAAATACTGGATAAAAATGTACTTTCTGTTCAATTTCTCTAGCTTTTGGACTGAAAAGGGTTGGAAACTGGGCTGATTTGAATAGCTTTTGAGACAACGAGTTTATAAAAGGACGTTTGTTCATTACTTTATAGGGAAGTGAGGGCCTGGGAACCTACTCCTGGCACACTTGGCTTTTTTCATTTTTGCTGCTTCAGTCCACTAATAACGCGCTATTTTCTGACTAGTGTCTTAGTGCATGTAGAAGATACTTTACAGCGTTAATATCCACCTCCTTAGATGGCAGGTACTTAGAAACAATTTATGCATTTGGTGAAGAAGACAGGGACTAGCAAAAAAGACTTTTTGCCAGCCTGAGGAAAGCTGGGGCAAGGAAGCAGACAGAGAGAAGGGCTGATCTGCCTGATGTGGGAGGACCAAGCTAAAGGCTGAGAAATACAAGAGAAATGCACCCCCTCCCTGTGGAGCCATCACAGGTTTCCCCAGTTCCTGGCTTGATTGATGGGTGTTGAATGAGTAAACCCAGGACCTGACTGCCTTGTTTGTGACCAGCCTTACCACATATCACAAAACTCCTACTGCCTTTCCAGGCCTCTGTTTTGCTGTTGTATCCTGTCCTCTCCTCCTTCTCCTCCTTGCTGCCAGATGCCTGCATGAAGGACAACACATTCTTCAGTTCCTTGTCCCAGAATACTCTGTATAATGCCACTGAAGGAAAAAACACTCATCGCTCCTAGGAGGATGTATCCTTCTTCTCCTTACCATCTCCCCAGGCTCTAACCTTTCCTGCACTATAACACTATAAACAGCTCATGTCCTAAATCCCTTCTCAGTTTCCTCAGTGCTGTGCCCATGATGTGCAATAGCTCTGTGAAACATCAGCTTCTGGTTGCCCTCCTTTGTCCTTCTCTTCCTTCCCCTTCACACTGTCCATTTTCTCTAGCCTCATCCTGCAGACCAGATCCCCACCAACCCCTCCCTCCTGTGTGTTCCCTTCTCATCCCACCATGGCTGAGCTTTCAGTAAATGTCCAATCTGATCCTCTCCAAAGGCAAGGAGACACTTGCCCTTCTTTGCACTGCCTCAACACAAGAGTATTAGGATGAAGCAATGTCTGCCAGCAGCAGGTTTTAGTGACTGCCCTTTACACCATGGCATCACACATTAAATGTGAACAAGTGTCCTGCTGGAGGACTCAGCTTCCCAGATCCTTTTCTCTATTTCATGCTTTAGAGCTGCATAAAAACTTCCAGCTCCACTAATAACCAACCCTGCCAGGATAAAGTGGGACAGCCTGCAGCTGCATCATGTGTGGGTCTGGGAACCAGAGGATCCAAGGAGCTGGACTCAGTTTGGAGCCCATTATCTACAATTGTCATGACAGCTAGGAGTCAGCAGCTGTGCCAACACATTGGGACATATTGTTGTCAAATGGATTAGTGGCAAGTGAATAACAACATGTGTGCAGTACCTTCCAACACCCACATCTGGCATTTCTCAGGACTGTTGCACTTCAAAGGGAAGCCGGCATTTTATTTTCACTGATTGATTCCCTCTGAGGTTCATCTGAATCTTGAAAATAGCCATAAAATTGTTGGCAGATCACATCGATGCAGTCTCTGAAATATGCCAGCTGCTTCTTTCCAGCTTAGGCTTCTCCCAGCTATGGGCAGATATGGAGTAGAAGCCAGATTTAGTCCCTGAGTGCCTTTGGGTTTGTGGCTAAATACGGTCAGGCTTTGTATCTGGGTTCAGAGGGATTGGTAACTTTTGTCACGTTTTGTTCCTATACTGCTCTGATTCCAGCCTTCCTGTTCCACATGTGAGCTATGAAGAAAACACTTTGGATAGTTGGAGGGGGTGATCTTTGGTCTGCCTTGCTCCCACCCTGCCGCCCAAAGCAGGGGAAGAGGAACACCTGAAAAACAAGCCCAGTTCCTTCTGCAGAAGCTTAGTTCCCCTGGCCTCCAGCAGAAAGGCTTTTGTCACAGCAGAGCTGTACTTGGCTGCAGCCGTAGATGTGCTGGGGCTTTTTCTTAGGCCGGGGGCTTGGTGTTAAGGCTGATTTCCCATGCCCCTATTTTTTTATTTAAATAGTCTTAAGTGGTCAGTATGGTTTTCACTGATAGTGTTGTTATAACACTGCAAGAAGATCTAAGCCTGTGCTTGTTGTGGTATATTTAAAATCCAATATAGCCACATGTTTTCTTCACCTCTTGACTGACTGCCTGTCACTGATGATCTGTGTCAATGCCTCTTTCCAGGTCTGCTGATGTTTGCCATCACACACATCCTGTACTCTTCAGCCTTTGGCATGAAGCCTTTGGACCTCAAAGCCGGCTTGTTGATGGGCCTGGTTTCCGGTTCCTGTTATGCCTTCCTGTACTCCTACCTCTCAGGCCCGTTCACCTACCTGGTAGCTGTCTACATCGCCTTGATTGCCTTCATGGGCTGGCGGGCGGTGGCCGGCATGCAGCTGTGCAACGACCTCTGGACATGGACCAAGCTCTCTGCCTGCATCGGCGCGATGCTGTTCATGGTGTCCGACCTAACCATTGCACTTAACAAGTTCTGCTTCCCCGTGCCCTACTCGCGCTTCATCATCATGGCTACTTACTATGCAGCCCAAATGCTTATTGCACTGTCAGCTGTAGAGACCAGAGATGAAGAGGACTTCAGAAAGAGGAGCTAGATGGAGTGCCAATAGTCTGTGAACACGTGGGTTATATCTCAGGTGCTGTAGCTGCATTCACCCCTGAGAGAGATCTCCATTTCTCTAGGCACACTGGTGATGTTGATTTTGCTTCTTTGAAGCATTACCTTTGGGAATTATTTTTTTTCAATGGCTTTCTCTGAATAAAGCTTACTTCAGTGTGGAGTCCACATCAGAAAGCTTAGACTGTCCTTGCAGTAGTTACTCATTCTACTTTTCCTTCTTGGAAGTGCTGTACTACTGCATTTTACTCGTTAGTCTTGAAACTGATGCTGAATGTCTGGGAAGTGGAGAGCTGATGGAAAGGAGGTTTAGCCATGCACTGTGTTAAAAGGCTTGCTCTCAACTGAAGGCAGACAGACACAGATCTCTGCTGAAGTCATAGGTAAAAATTAATTTAACTGATGTTTGTCTCTGTGCGTTACAAACTCAGTATGCAAACTGGAGCTATTGCCTCTGCTGAAAGGAAACCTGGAGGGAGAGTAAAAACAGCATATCCAGATAGGAACTGAGCTTTAGAGTCAAAGGCAGCATGTGGGGCAGCACCCAGCAGAACCAGCATGACAGCAGAACCCCAGACTGAGAGCACAGAGCAAGAGGTGCGCTGACGTGCAGTGCTGTGTGCTTTGATCATGGTGATCACTGCTCCAGGGCAATCTGTAGGTGTAAGCCAGCATTGCCATATGTGGCAGAACTAGGAGTTTGGTGGGATTTCAGGGACATCTCGGTAGCCAGGCCAACATGTTCCCCCTCGCCTTGTGTGTGCAGTTACACAGCACCTGCAGCCAGCAGTGACAGCTGGGATGTAATGGGCACACAAGGAACTTCGATTCTTACAGCAGAACTTTGAGCTCGTGTCTTACTAGTGTATACCCTAGTTGTCCTTAGTACAGGAGACAGGAATCCAACCTTTATGCCTTTCTTCCCCAGTGTCCTAACAAGTAATATTCCATATACCCATTAAGCTTTATAGTACTGCTGCCTGCAGTATTTGAATCTTCATCTGAGCATTTCCTGTGGTCAAGGCCTTGATTTTGGATGTAGATTGTTATTGAGCTTTGCCAGCTGGTGGTAAATGATCATCTTTGCACCACTTCTTTTTTGTTAGAAAGCCTCTTTTCAGGAGAGCTTCCTGAAATGCACTGTCTTGTGTGTTCAAAATGCCTGGTGCTTCCTTCTTGAACTCACAGGGACACAGTGAGAATGCACAGACGGGGCTGGGAAAGCCTATTTAATTCTGATCCAAATTCTTTGGTTGGTTTGTCTGCCCATCTGTTTAAGCAAGATTATTTCTGACTTCAGACTTTCTTAAAAAGATGTAGGAAGAGGTTGCCTTGATTTTTAATCCAAGTTCATTTGTGATCATATGAATATTTTTTCCTCTTATTTAGGATACGTATCAGCAAGCTCTGTTTCTATATGAAACTATATTACTATCTTGAATGTGCTTCTTCCTTCTGTCCACCAGTGGCTTGTTTTAAGACACAAGTGCACTCAGGTGTGCAGAGGAAACTTGCTGAGCGTTGCTGCCCCTCTTCAAACTGCAGCCAAACAGGGACAACCAGAACAGACTGCACAACTTGAATCCATTGAATCCTCAACAGCCCTTTGCACATGCCCACATGGGCAGAGGGAGCAAGAGGGGCAGCCCTCCAGACCAACCTTGTGGGCTGAAAAATCATCACGGTCTCCATACCTAGCATGCTCAGACCATTCCAGGCAAAAGCCTGGCACTGAGTCCCTAGCCCAGTCTGCAGAAGAGGAATTCATCTTTGTGAGAAGTCTGGCAAGTTCAGGGGCAGCTGAGGAACCCCTATGAGCCCTGCTAGCTTTCCCCTTGGTGCTGAGAGGTACTGAGTGGGTCTCCTGCTCCTCGCCGGCCTCGCGTGGTGTGTCTGGGTGGGGAATAGGCATTGCCTCCTTCTGACTTCTGCATCAGTGCAAATGCAGCCAGTATTACAAAAATCTAGGTTAACTATCCTGACCCCGTGGAGGCATCTGCTGCTTTTCAGACAGAGATCAGAAAGGTCAGCTGCATTATTGAGAGGGAAAGCATGGTAGGTAGCACAGCCCCGTGTAATCCCTTCCCTTTAATGCTGTTGTGTAATACTGTCAGTATTCATTCAGTGATGCACTGGGGCCTGCCTGGAGTAAACAGCTAAGGGAATTTAGAGCCATAACCACCTTCATTCATCAGCATTGCTTATCTCCTGGCCACAGATTGAACCCTGCAGTGTAGCTCTCTGCAGATGTCACCTGCTGTTACTCTGCTTGGCTGTTTGCAAATCTCTTCCTGCAACAGACTGACCCAGCTAAGAGGAAATCTAAGCATTTGGGGTGAACCCCACCATCCTCCCAGCATATGAGCAAACAGCACATTGGTCTGGCACACTCAGTCCTTAGCTGGCAGTTCTTCAGAGGAGCCCCCTGCATCCTGAGCTTCTCTTTGCTTGGAGGGAAATGTGTGTGTGATAAAATAAGCTTTGTTTAAAAGTCTCAGTTTTGATTCTCTCTTTCTTCCTCTCTAGAAATGAGTAGTCCTCAACTTCCTGAAGACAGCTGAGTCGCTTTTCTCTGTGCTTTTTCATCTTGCTTTGCTGTCCTACTCCACCATCAGCTGCTGGATACTTGCAGAAAAGAGCCTTTAAGTGTTATTAGGAGGCCTCTCCTCTCCACTGGCCATCAGAGGTGCAGTTTCTGGTGCAGAGATCTCTGGGTGGGATGGCAGAAACATGTGCAGCCCAAGTGGGCTGTTGTTCCCTTGCTGTCCCCTCACCTGGAGTGACCTGGCTGGGACACATTCTGGCCAGTCACACTGGCTCTGTCCCAGTGCTGCAACAGCTTCAGCCTTCCCAGGAACACGAGGCAGAGCCCTCAGCATACAAAGAAGGAGAGTCCTGGCTGGCTCGGAGGTTTGTCAGCAAAGGCTCTCAATCTTCAAAATCTCCCTCCTGCTCTGCATTCCTCCTTCTAATCCATATTACTTGAATGAGACCGTTTTCCTGGAGGCTTTTTTCTGCCGGGAAGGGACCAGCTGCTGTGGATGGAAATTTGACACAATTTTGAGATTCCTAAACCCTGAGAAACACTAAGCAGTTGCTTGGCAGTCTGTTAAATACCTTTTCTTGGTATTAAAACAGTTTCCTTGACCCCAGTGAGGTCTATCTCCACTTTGAAATGGAGCAAACAAAATGGGAATGGTGTGACTGTCTGTGGCACTGCCTTTGTGGACCTTCCTGTTGTCTCTTCAAAATGTAGAACTGTGAGGTTTGATCCATTCTTGTCCTTGTAAGGGGTACATTCTTTAAGAAGCACCCAGCCTTTGGCCCAGGCAATGAAGCATCCCAAGTGGTGTAGTGTGCCTGGCCCCAGCAGTAGCAGCTCCTTTCCTTGCTAAGTACAGAGGCTTTCTTTTCACACTGCTGTATCCAAACACCCCTCTGCAATTCCTGTCTATGGTCACTTCAGGTTACACATGCGATCCAATTGCTTGCACTCACTTTCCTTTCTGTAGTTACCACCCTCTTGGAGATCCTTTTGCTCCTTATTTGGCCATACAGAAGACCCGACAGGTTTATTTCAGCCTCTTTCTGTAGACAGATCTTTGCATGGAACTCCTAGTGAAGTCAAAGACGCAGTGGTAATTGCAACTGGTTTTTAAATGCTAGTGATGCTTCTGGGCTGTGCCAGGCACACTGATGTCAGCAGGGTGATGCTCACGTAGAAATTGCAGGCCAAGAAGAACAAAGGCAGAGGATTTTAATAGCTTTACTCCTACTCTACCAAGGAAATGGTATTCATACTGAATACCTGGGTTATTACTGCTCCATACTGAGGCAACTGTAAGACCGATTGGTTTAAGAATTACTCTAACATGTCTTTTATGTAGATTGCTGAAGGTTTCCTGTTGTAATCAGTGTAGGTAATTAATATATTTTTACATGAGTATATAAAATTCCCAGGACTAACTTTGCAGAATTTTTAGTGGCTCTTCAAGGTTTTCCATAGTTTGACACCAACAACTGTATGTTTTCAGCTTGCTATCATGGTAATTTTGGGAGCTGTTCTGGAAGAAGCAGATCAAAGCAAACAGCAACTGTAAAGCTCAGTGGCAGGTGCCTCTTTCCTTTTTTTGGTTTCTGGATACAGGCAGGTGCTCTATTAGGCAGAGGTATCATAACTGTGTTCTTGGAAGAAGATGGGAAGTTGCTGACTTCTCTTGACAGAAGTCCTCATGGGTAGTTCTCCTACCTTTTATCCATGCTCGCTCCTTTTGTGGCCTTGGATAAGTCACATTTTCTGTGGTCAAGTCCTCATCTGGTGTAAAAAGGCAAAAGCATATGAGGGCCAGTGCTATGCCAAGTTACTACAGCAGGGGACCAGGCCCTCACCCCATTTCTAAAATAGGGTTATTAGCACTTACCTACCTCACAAGGATGCTGTGAGGATTAATACTCATACAGCACTTTGAAGATGTAAAGTGCTATATAAGTCCCAAGTATTATCCAACTTTAGTGTTAAAAATGTTTTTAGGGATCTTCAGGACTTCTCTTAAAGCATGGAATTGTGACTACCTTTTCAACTTGCATCATATGTAAATGCAAAATATTTATTCATACTAGTTAACAGGATGGGCTCAGCTACACTTGAACACTGAGGAAGGTTTAGCTTAAAAATCTGAACTCTAATTTCAGTTTTGCAAATGCTTTTTAGTTCTTCTAAAAGCCTCAACCAAATTCTTAGATGTGAACCTTGTATCCAAATCTCACAGTCTGGTCTTATTCCTGATTGTTAACTAGAATAAATCTAATCCTGCCAAAACACAGTGTGCTCACAGTCTGCTATGGCTGTTGACAAGACTGGAACAGAAATTGAAGTCGTCCTGTTCAACCTTCACTCTGCAGAAGGTCAGCTAGGTTTCATGGGACAAACTGCAAAGGGGTGTTTAATTTCTACGATTGTAGGTTTTACTGGCTTTAAAATCATCAGAGTGGGAAGGCCTTGAGGGAATCAATAAGCTCAGCACACCCTTCTTGAATTACTTTCTTTTCACCTGAATCAAAGAAATAGCAGGTTCTGTAGCAAAGGAGGTGCTTGTACCACTAGTCCTACAGCCTGGAAAAAAAATGGATCTAGAAATATGTCTCTGAACCATCACCATGTTCTCAGCTAGGATAAAAAATATCACTGTTCACTGATTTCAAATCTGGACCACAACTAGAAACTACTTAGTTCTAGTAGCACTAACTGCTGTACAAACACAAATGAAGGCCAGGAATTACACACCAAGGAACATGAGCTGTGTACATGTGAAATGGACCATAATTTTGAAGCAGCTGCAGTTAAATCTTATCTTAATATGAACTCAGAAGCAAACACAATGCAAATTTTTATGGTTTCTTTAAAATATGTGGTGGGTTTTAGTTTTCTTAGTTTGGAGAAAATTTTCTTAATGTTATTTTATTTTTGCTCTTATTGTAAAGAATAAAAATATACAACTCTAGATAGACTACAAATGAAAAAAAGGTGGCCAGTTGGCAGGAATGCCAAAACTTCTGTGGTTTGTATTGTTTCTGTGGTGACACTATGCTGCTGTAGGATGAGCTACTGGAATTGTGCGATGGCTCAACAGTGAGGCTGAAGCACAGGGCCAGATGGGTGCAGGGGTTGAGCCACCGGAGACTGAAGCAGGAGCACGACTGGGCCAATGTGGGTTGGTCAAAATACAGAGCATCAGAAAATTAAAGACAATATTTCCTGACAGAAGAAAAACAAGAAACCAAAACCAGCCTGTTGGGCGACGGTTCTGATTCACTACAAACATACTTACTAGATCTTGCTGGTGCAGGGTCCTGCTGGACCAAGCCTTGCTCCTAATTCACCTGGGGAGGCTTGCTCCACATCTACGGTGCTGGCATGGTCAGGCCAGCAGAACCTGACCCTTTGCTAAATAAAACTCAAAAACTAGCAAAAAACAACAAAACCAATAACAAGAACAAAAAAGCCCCAAACCAAAACAAACCAAAAACAAACCCACAAAAAACAAAGAAGGAAAAAGCAAATGCCATTGGGTAAGTGGGAGTACTGCCTGGCTGAGAATGCAGAGTGGCTGGTCTGTCCTGAACATTAATCTCCATGTCTTGGACCCATTCAAGCCTCTTGCTCCAGCCCCTCTCCCACGCACAGGGTGCACTGAAAGATGTGATTGAAGCAGCTGCTCTCCTTTGGGGAGTCAAGCATTT